TGCTGATTTGACATAATCACTTCAGCAGCTGCCTGCTCTGCAAATGCTGTTGGATCTCAGGCATGTTGCTGGTAGTTGCCAAAATGATGACTGCAAGAGAGGCAAGGAGTGGAAGCACAAATTAAAACACTTGGGAATTATTCTGTCTCAGGTCTGTAATAGTCTGCATTCATTTTCGCTTGGAGGTGTTTTATTGAAACTCTCTCCCTTCCTTCCCTCCCCCAGTAATTACCCCATTGTAAATCCACAGTGTGTGAAAGTGCTTCAATTTGAAACCCATGCTATATCAAATTGTTCTCATCCATGCCAGTCATTCTCTGCTACATGAAGCCTGGAAAATACATTACTTTCATATTTTTTATCAGAAAAAAACCCGAGGGCTGTTGTTTTCTTGGAACATTCTGAGTGAGCATATGTGCTCCATAAAACCACTTCTGGTGCTTCAGTTCATTTTCTGGAGTGCCAGTGAACCTTGAAGAGTGGTCTCTTAATGATATCTCAAAGCTTTAGTTAGATCTTAGAAAATCAGAGGAGCAGCTCATTGCTGCTGAGATTGGGAAGGACTTCCAAGTGCATTTGTCAAGACACCACATTAATGTGACCCTCTCCACTCCCCAAATCACCTTGCCATAGTCTGTTTTGCATTGCAATTGCAGGAGGAGGCTTTCCACCAGCATCCAAAATACCTTCACTTTCCCCTCCAATACAGATAATGATTCTGTTTGCTGATTTCCCACTGGGATTTAAAAGGGAGTTTGTAGAGCCGGGCAACTTCTATATGTCCTTCCTCACTACTTATTCAGAAAGGCTCTGTGGCTAATATATATATGTATTTGTGCTGAGCTGGTGCCTTCACTGCTCTCAACTCCATAGCCAGGGGCAAAACTTAGAGATGCTGGTGTCAGCTGCAGTCTTTAGTTGTCTTCAGACTAAACCCCTAGAGAGGGGGAGAAGGGCAGAACTATGAGAGGGGAGCTTGTCTCCACCTCCAAGGGCCAGATAAGGACAGCAGAAGCAATTTTATTAACTCTATGGAATTAACCTATGGAATTGCTATCATCTTACACACCAAGGGTACAGTGTCCTGAAAATGCAAAGGAAAGCATTTCTGCTTTATTAGCTCACTTTTATTGCTATCAGGGTGGAGATCCAGCTGTGTATTAGGCTTTTACTCAGTCTGCACAAGGCAAACCAAAATACTTTAAAAAACAACAGCTTTTGCATAAAGCAGATAATTGCTGGGCATTGGTTGCAGTGAGCTGAAATCACCTGGAGCAGTCTTCTAGTCACAAAAATCTGTTTATCCAGTCTCCTGGGTAACCTGCTTCTCCCTGCAGCCCTTCTTTAACTTACTGCTTATCTTCCTCACCATGTTGTGTTTCTTCATTAAACCTGGGGAAGGGAAGAGAGACAGTGGCTACACAGAGAGGCAAATTACAAGGTACACCAGCACAATGTAGAAATAAAAAACAAGCAACCCCCAGATCACACAGGTGTGACAGACATACAAATGCATAATGTCAGTCACAGCTCTCATTGCTTTCATATCAATGAGATAATTCCTAAATCCCTTGAGTCCCTGACATGCAAGCCCAGGATATAATAAGCAGGGATGAATTAACTGCATGATACACTGATGAACAAAATGAAATCAAGTGCTTTTATTGTACAAGGGGAAATGCTTTGCATTGAACAGTGGACACATCAATTCAAATTATGGCTCACGCTGCATAAATGATAATGAGACTCTGTCTCAGGCTGAGTGAGAAAGCTGAAGGGAGCAAAGACACCCACATGATGCTACATCCTAACAGTGCTTATCATTCAACTGGGACAGCAGAATTTATGTTCCTAACAAACAGCTCTCCTTTGAAAGATACCTGTCTGGGCAGAAGGGCATCCTAGTGCACTTCGCACACAGCACTGAGCCAGCAGTGTGCCTATTCAGGCTCTCTAGCTTTCCCCCCATCCCAAGTGTCACATATTTTTGTCATTTATGTTGAAATCCAGTCATTCCTTGGCATTACTGGAACCACTAGCATTGATGTTATTTGATACCACCACCTCTGTAGATAAAGACAGGACTTCCCTGCAAGACCCAGTAATGTGTCCATGCAAGACATAATAATGGAAGTGAAGGCACAGCTCATGTGTCATGAGGCAATAGGAGTTATATTTCAATCTTTCATTTGAAAGTGACATATTCAGAGATTCCTGAGGGGACTTACACAGCCTTTTTGGGTTTTTTACTTTTGTTCTTAGCTATGCAGCCAGTTAGTTTTATCCTCTATGCTTCCTAGCATTTTCTAGGTAATTTCATTTTGGCATTTAATGCTTTGCCTTGGGAAATCTTGAAGTGTGCTGCTTGAAGCAGTCAATAGCACTCAGGACACGGTCAAGGACAGGCTGGATAGCACTACATTTGTGGCTTGTTTGAGAATGTCTGATGGTAGGTTCAGCACTGCACAATTCTCACTGCTTGAACTGGAAATGAGACTGAAGGATGACACATGCATTTCCACATCCAACTTCTGCAATGAACCTCTGACCCAGCTAATTTCTCAGAGGCCCCATCTTTTCTTTAAGAAGGAATAATGACAAGAAAGGAACTAACCTAATAAGACATCACAGTCTTACACTGCAGACAGCACACATTAGGCAAGGATAGGAGGGTTTGAGAAATGTCATCCTGACCTCTGGGTTCTGTTACTTCATTTGCTAGACTTGGGGAGAAGGCTGCTGGTATGAACTACACAGGAAATGGTAAATTACAGCTGAACTGTGTGGGGTTGAATTGGTCACTTAGCAACTTCTCTAGCTCTAAAATGAAACCAGATTTCTTTAGGAATAAGAAATGAAGAACTTGTTATTTGCACCAGGATTTTAGGCAAAGGATACAGTCATCGAGTTCTAGAGGAAAAATCCAGGGCCAAGGGAATCAACTGTGTACCTGCCAGCCATCCTAGCTACTGCCTCAACACCTAAGACTGACCTTAACTTGACTTAGCTGTTGGGTGACGTAGCTGAGCACAGTTAGCACCTCAAAATAACCTTTTTGTTGGTGTCTATCAACAGTTTCTTTGCAACTCCTTAAATTTTGGTCAGACCACTGATATATGCACAAGAACTCTTCCTGCAGAAAGCTGCTAAGTCCTTTGCACACAGCTTTCCCAGACACTGATTACAACCAAAGTATAATGTCCAACCTTGTCTCACTACATTGCATGTACAAATAGAAGGAAGAGTTTGGCTGCCTTTTTGCAGCCAACAAACTGATCTGTGCACACTATAGCTGGGTGTTGCAACCAAGAAACTTATATATGCATATTTTTAACTTGATGGTGGCTTTTGAAACAAATTCACAGAATTGTTAGGGTTGTCAAGTATCCAATATTAGATATTTCATACAAGGAATGGCGCAAATTATGTTTACTACACATAACAGAGGCATTATCAAGATCATTCTGTTATGCATGATTATAATTTGCGCTAATGAAATATTGTTGTATTGAATCAAGGGAAATATGATTTGTCACGTGTAATATTTAGTTCACACCAGCACTGTGAGCTGCCCCCCCACATATTCGGTTACACCAGAGCCGGGTTTTGTTGGACAATGCTTCATTTACAATCTAATACATGTGGCTGGTCTGGAGATGGGCTGGAATGCCTGGGAGCTGATCAGTCCCAAAGGACCTGGGAGCTGATCAGTCCCAAAGGACCTGGGAGCTGATCAATCCCAAAGGACCTGGGAGCTGATCAATCCCAAAGGACCTGGGAGCTGATCAATACCAAAGAACCTGGGAGCTGATCAATACCAAAGGACCTGGGAGCTGATCAATACTAAAGGACCTGGGAGCTGATCAATACCAAAGGACCTGGGAGCTGATCAGTCCCAAAGGACCTGGGAGCTGATCAATACTAAAGGACCTGGGAGCTGATCATCCTGGTAACAATCCAAGATTGGGATCACTGGAGTCCTCCGGGCTGATACATCTGAACACCAGGAAAATCAGGAAAAATCATCCACACCTGGACTTGGATTGTTCAACCCCGGCTCGGAGAAAAGAACTTTATGAATATGTGGGACTCTGAATAGAAAGAAAAGGCTGAAATCCTGGCCTCGGGCGGAAAATTTCCTGTAAGAACTGCAGGGCCCAGGAGTGTGGTCTGTGTGTGTCCAGGGGAACCTCTGCCAGAGGCTCCTTCCTGTCATGCACCCAGCGCCGAACCCGGGCTCGGCACTGTCCTTTTCCTTGTGGCTGGCTCAGAGAGAAGTCAATCCTGAATAAATATTTTATTATTTCACTTTTAATTTGGCTGGACTAATTTGCATTTATAACAGTTCATATCAAGCAAGCAGAGCACCCGGGCTGCCTGTCCTGACGGGACACGCCTAAGCAGCCGCCCCTCAGCGAGCTCCGACAAGGGCCCAGAAACGCCGGGAAGAATTCGATCCTAAATAAACTTTTTATTATTTAATTTTTAATTTGGCTGGACTAATTTGCGTTTATAACAGTTCTCATTAAGCAAGCAGAGCACCCGGGCTGCCTGTCCTGACGGGACACGCCTAAGCAGCCGCCCCTCAGCGAGCTCCGACAAGGGCCTGTTCTGGGCCCGGGAAGAATTCGATCCTAAATAAACATTTTATTATTTCACTTTTAATTTGGCTGGACTAATTTGCGTTTATAACAGTTCATATCAAGCAGGCAGAGCACCCGGGCTGCCTGTCCTGACGGGACACGCCTAAGCAGCCGCCCCTCAACGAGCTCCGACAAGGGCCTGTTCTGGGCCCGGGAAGAATTCGATCCTAAATAAACATTTTATTATTTAATTTTTAATTTGGCTGGACTAGTTTGCGTTTATAACAGTTCACATCAAGCAGGCAGAGCACCCTGGACACGCCTAGCTCAGCGAGCTCTGCAAGGGCCCAGCACCGCCGGCAGCGCCCGACGCGGCCGGGCCGGGCGGGGCCGGGGGCGGTGTCCCGGCTCCCCCCGCCCCTGAGCCCGGCCCTGCCGCACCGAGCGGCCCCGGGGCCGCTGCCATGGAGCTGCCGGCCGTCAGCCTCAAGGTAGGGCTTGCCCTGCCCCGGGGCCGGGGAGCGGGGCCGGGGGGCTCCTGGGGCGGGTGGAGCCGCGGGCACTCCGGGCAGCCCTCCCCGTATCCTTTCCTCTCGCACGTTCTCCAGCCGAATGTCTGCTCCGCGTCCTGGCTGAGGCCCTGCTCGGAGCTGCGGGGCTCTCCGAGGAGGAAAACCTGAAGTTTTCCTCCTTTTTCCTAAGGAGAAGAAACTGAAGTTTTCCTCCTTTTTCCTAAGAAGGAAAAACTGAAGATTCTACTTTTTTTTTTTTTAATCACATGCGCAAAGGGTACAGAAGTTCTGAACGCCAGGAATCCGAGTCGCGGGGAGGGTTAGGTTGGCTATCAGGAAAACCTTTTCCCCAGAGGGTGATAAGGCACTGAACAGGCTCCGCAGGGTCACAGCATCAAGCCTGCCCGAGCTCAAGGAGCATTTGGACAATGAGCTCAAGCACAGGCTGGAGTTCTTGGGGTGTCTTGTGCAGCGCAAAGAGTTGGTGATCCTGATGGGTCCCTTCCAACTCAGTGTATTCTATGATTCTTAGTTAAACCCACCAGGTGATGACTCCAAAGTTTGACCCTACTTCAGAGATATTGCTGAAGTGGCCAAGGACTGTGCAGAGACAACAGCTGGCTATTAACTAGTGTCCATGGAGGTTTCCAGCTCAGCTGACCAGAACTAAGGCAAGATAAACACTGCACTCCTCAATCCTGAGGAGACAAAGTTTTGCTTGTCAGACAAAGTATCTTAGAAAAATAAGTTCACTTACTTGGGGCTTATCATCTGAGACATAACTGCAGTTGCTTCTCTGCTGGGGAGGGCAGGCTCCACTTGTGGGCACTTCGGAAATTTCAATGAATATCTGATAACCAGGGAAAGGAGATATAAGAGACTTAACCAGAAACATAACATTTTTCACTTTTGGAAGAAGCACTTGGTGAAAAGCCAGTGGATGTTAAAATCACACTTTGCTTTTGATGTCGATATTTGATTCTGATGTCTTCTGTGCTACCAGATACGTTATATTTTTCTCTTTTTTCTTTCACATTTTCAGAACTCTGAGATTTCTAGATGTTTCTGTCCTTTCCCAGCTTTGCTACTTTGTGATTTCATTTAATGCAGAATGGTTCAGGTGCTTTCTTTGGTTAAAGCTTTGCCCAGAGACTGAAAGCATCACAGATCACATCAGGGCTTTTTTTGCTGGTGATTCGTTAAGCTGTGAGCAGTGGCCTCGGACCAGGTTGCCTATGGGTTGGAAGAGAGAATAGAATTATCTCAGCTACCATTATTAATTCAGCTTTGTACAGGACAGCTTTCATGTGGCTGTATTAAAGAAAAGATTGCTGTTCATATAATGATGAATACCCCTCTTACTAGTTCACCAAGAAAAGCAACTTCCCTTGTTAGAGGCAAGTAAGCAAATGGATTTTTCAAGGCCCAGCTTGTGGATTATATTACATTCTGGAAACTAGCTGATACTTTGCTCTGACAAGTTTGGACTACTGTGTGGTTCCCAGGGCACTAGGAAGATTAAAAGATCTTGCCTTCTGCTTTGTTTTTTAACTTGGTTTGATTATTTTTTTTTTCCATGCTAAAACAACAGTGAAAACTAAGGACATTTTAATTAAAAATTTTGCCAACACGAAATACATGTTCTCCATGAGAAATGAAGATAGGGGAGCTGAAAAACACTGACTTTTCAATGAATGAGCCACAAAGACAACAAAACTAAAATGTTGCTTTTCTTCTCTTGTTCAGACAACTGTTTTCCCAGTCTCTTGCCAGATAACTGTGAGTTTGTCCTGGGCAAACTGTTTTCAGCATTAAGAAATTCTTGGTTGTGAAGTCTGCCACTTCTACTCTGAGCTGCAAAGACAGGAATTGGGAGTTAATAGTTGTGCCTGCACTTCATTCTGTTCCTGAGTTAGGGCCTGATTCCCTGTAAAATACCACAAAGGTGGGGAAGATTCTTACTCAGAAGAGTAAGTAACACACACTGCTGCTATTCATTGGCATGATCTGCTTACAGGTTCTGTGAGATTATGAAGATGAGTCTTGTGATAGAGATAGTTCAAAGAAAGCTGCATGACTGAGCTGTGCCTGTGCCAGAATGTAGCAGTATCTTAGCCTTGGGGTCTCTCTTTAAGCTCCTTGCAGAGCTGTAAAATTAAGGTAGGCTTTGCCCTGGAGTGGGTGGGGAACATGCTCATTGAACAGGATCTACTGGCTCGGTTTTAACAGCCATGCTCAGCAAAACGGGGGAAGCAGCACAGCCATACTTTTGCCATGACAGCCATGATTATTGAAATAATCATGCAGAGCCTTGAAATACAACGTTTGATCAAGGCTGGACAATGCCCTACAATCCATGTGCCTGGAAACACGTATTTTGTGCTTAGGCATTTCTTAATGCTAAGTCACCGAGTCAAGGAATAATAGAGATGTCTGTATGCCATGTGATTAAACCTCCTACTCAAAGCAAGGCAAACTGCAAAGTTAGATCAAATAGCTCAACTCAAAAATCAGCTGAGTTTTAAAATAAGAACAGAGCCATGTCAGCCCCATTGTATAGTCTGTCCCACTGCTTAAGCACTCTCATTATTATCACTCTGTTATAATAATGAGGAGCATATTCACAGGTGGCCACTCAGATTAATATTTTGGTTTTGTGTGTTCTCAGGTGAATGCCGTAGAGTAGGCGAGCTCACTCTAAAATAGAAATTTAGATAAAACCAAGAAAATAACTTTAATTTGGAACTGTTTCATTTTTAACTTGTTCAAAATTCAGTCTTGTGCTAAGCTCTGTGCTGAAGCATGTTTAAAAGAGTTCCTGTTCCAAAGAGCTTCCCATCTAATGAGACCCTGGCAGACCCGGCTCTTTTTATGCTTGGCAATTAGTTCCATCACATGCTGGGATTTGCAAAGGAGGTAGGAATTCTCCTTAGCTCTCCCCAGTTTCCAATGGGATGCTTTTAATTACATAGCCATCCTTTTTCCCAGAGGAGATGGAGACAAAAGACCCACCTTTCTTATTTTCTGCTCTCACCACTAGTTCATCAATAACTTCAGAGTTATTTTCTCAAAAGAAGAAATGTATGTCTGTCTTATCTACAGACTTAAGTCCTTGGATAGATGGAAAAATTTTAAATTCTTCTGCTGTTTTATCAGAAGAGTGCCTGCAAATTAACTGGTCTCACATAGTAGCTTGTAGTTTTTCATTAACACCATATTTTCTGTGTTAAAGCATACCAACACCACCAGCCATTTCATAGACTGCTGAAGAACTGTCAGGTAAATTGGACTAATAACTAAAAAGGGAATATCTTGGTTTTATTTCAGCAGCCATTCATAGTATAAGCCCTAGTATACCTGACTTTATGCTGATGACTAAACATACCTCATAATTTAGTAACTGCAGTATTGATCTAGACAGCTTTTAAAAAAACCCACCCTGCTTAATTATGTTAACTGGTGAGCCTTGCGGGGTCTTGTGGGTATGTAACATGCAATTAAATACCACCTAATTAAAATTTTTCCTGATGTTGCGATAGTCTCTTGAGTAAATGCTATTTGCATGTCTCCATTCTTATCCAGGAACATCTTGTATTTTACTGATTAGCAGGTTTTCCATTGTGTCTGTGGTACAATTTGGGAGAAGGGGAAGCACAAGGGGTAGTGAAGCATTTTGTAAGCTTTCATAAACAATTAAAAAAACAAATTAGTAAAAATCTGTCTAAGCATTGTTGGAAGTTACAGCAAAGTCTAGTGAGTGCTCAGCAGCTGTGGTGGGATGAGAGATGTTTTAAGTCAAAAGAATCTAGCAGGCTGTCAGTAGATCTTAATTTATTTTTTGTGTCTTTATGCTCCTATCTGCATACAGCTTTCCTGTGTTCACTGAGTAACTTATTCTTTTGCTGTGTACTCATTTCCCAATTTTCTTTTTTTCCTTTGGTGCGGGGGAGTGTGCTTCAGAGGGGTTTTGATAATGTGGGTTTAGTTTTTTAATACCAAGGTCAGCAGAAATGCCAATTTGAAGACTTTCTCACAGCTAGGAAAAAATAAAAGTGCTCCTGTATCCCATGGATCCTCTGATATGTCCAGGCTTCAGCCTTTCCTTAGTGAGGCTGTTAATAGAGCCTTGTCTCCCATATTCTTGCTTTTAGAAAAGTTTAGAGAGGAAATAGGAGTGATCTCCTTTTGCTGGAGTGACCAGCAGACTATAGATACAGAAAAAGCCTTGGGTGATATATTGTTGTTCCCATTTGCTCTCTGAATAAACATGTAGGGTATGTTTCCTTGGTTACAAAAATGGCAAGTGGTGGTGAAGAGCATCCTTGTATCACTTATTACAGTATGATCCTTTCTTCTTGGATTTGTCCCATTAAGCACAAGGACCATGATCATTAAGGACACTTGCAAAATACAGAATTTATGATAGCATTATCTTACTGCTACTCAGGCCACTGCTGGTAATGGGACCTAGTGGCTTCACTGGGAGTGAAAAGAGCTGTGTACTCTGGCAGGATCAGGTTCACAGAGTCCTGGAAAAAGCCTTCAGGTCTGTTAATACTGCAGTGAGCTTGGACCACTGCTCTGAACAGACTGGAAGGAGGTAAAAGAAGGATTTGCTGAGGACTGGAGGGAAATTCTGGGAGCTGTAGGCATAGCTATCCATGGGCTTTTTGGTGATGGGATGCCAGATTGTTAATGTATAAACTGTGCTAGCACAGCGTTAATCAGATTGCCTGGCTTTCTGTGCAAACTCTTATGGAGTTCCAAAATTAATAACCCATTTAGAAAAGGCTAAGTGGTCCCTGAATCAGCTGTTGACAGAGATGACAAGAAGAGTGAATGACTACAGTGTAGCACCACAGGACATACTCAGCAACAGATGTGGAGAAAAATAGCTTTGTCTTCACTGTCCCAATTGCTTCACCATCTTTCTGCACTGGTTCATGGGTCCAAGCCACTCTTCCACCCATCCCTTAGGAACAAGATGGTACCATTTCACATTGATCCTCCCAGAGTTCTCCCAACATACTAACCTGTCTTCCTGTTTCTTTGTGTTTTTTTTTCCATAGGCTATCATTCTGGTACATTGGCTGCTCACAGTGTGGTGAGTGATTAGTGTCTGGCCTGGGGGAAAAGAGGGGATTCCTTCAAACTAGGAATGGGATGTTCCCTGGGAACCAGCACTCCCTATTTGTGCCTGTGTGCAAGAAGATCCTAAATCTAAGAGTGAGGTGTTTGTATGGGAACAGGGATGAAACCAAACTTTTGCAGACTTGTTGTGAATATGAGCTGGATTTTTTGTCTCATTTGGCAGGGGAAGCATGAATTACATGTTGCCACTCTCCTATGCCTGGGGAAATTTCAGTGTCCTTGCAGTGGGGATCTGGGCCATTGTGCAGCGAGATTCCCTTGATGCCATAACGATGGTGAGTGTAAGAGTATTGGTTTCCCCTAGGCTGCTCAGAAAGAGGGTGGAGGGCAGAGTCTTTGAGCTAGTGATGATTTTCAGCTGTTCCCAATACAGAAGATTCATGTTTGGGTGGGTTTGGGTGTTTTTTGAGAGAGCATATAAATCTATGAACTCTCTAATCCATGGTGAGAAGCATTCACTGTCAATTATTTTTCTTCTCAGAGATGAGACATACTTGATTCTTCCTGTTTTTACCTGCTATTGTAACTTGTAATGCCAGATGAGGACTCAAAGTGTTTAATATGCTTCAGTTGGAGGGGATCTGTAAAACACTTTTCTAAACATTTAATAAATTGGCATACAAAAATAAATAATTCTAGACTATATTATGAGAAGATATCACACAGGAAAAGGCATGAAATAAAAGATCACTCATCTAGGAGTATCTGTCTGCCTGGGGCTGTACCAAGAGTGCTGTGTGATACTGGGGTGAAGGATGATTATGCAACATAGATGTCACAGGAAACAGAAACTGGCTGTTACTGTCAGTGGTTAAACCCTTGTTCTGTTTGTGTCCCATTCTCTGTCCTTGTTTCCAGCTCTTGACTGGCCTGCTGCTCACAGTCCTGACAGACATCATTCACATCTCTATCTTCTACCCTGCACACGACTTCCTCAGCGATGCGAAGCGTTTCAGTATAGGCATGGCCATCTTCAGCCTCCTCCTCAAGCCTGTGTCCTGCTATTTGGTGTATCGAATGTATCGGGAGCGTGGAGGAGAGTACACCTTTAACATAGGTAGGATGCTTTTTCTGCTTCCATGTCAGTGTGGGCCACCTCCTCAGGACTGCCTTGCACTTTGGACCCTTCAGCCTGAGCTCTGTGCAGCTGGATTCTGCCCTCCATTCCAGGCAGACAGGGTGTTTTCTGTGTCTTGCTCATGTTTGTTGTTTCATTTTGTCATTCTGGTGTGTCTTTGGCCTTAAATTTATATTCCTCCTCTCTCCCCTTGCAGAACTGAAGTTTTTGACAGCCACTTTGCCCACAGTGGTGTTGAGAGGCTTTTCCTCTTTCCTTCCTTTCCTTCCTTTCCTTCCTTTCCTTCCTTTCCTTCCTTTCCTTCCTTTCCTTCCTTTCCTTCCTTTCCTTCCTTTCCTTCCTTTC